TGGTGTTCTGGATTCAAAAAATGTGACAGGTCTCTAGAATCAGTCTCGTGGTAATGTAGTTTAAACAGAAGATTACAACCACAGAGCTCTATCTGTCTTGGCATGATAAGCCATCTGTCGCTGCATATATGGGTGTAAAATTAAAATAAATCCCTTAACTTGTACACAAGATCCTCTTCTGTAAGGTTGAAGTGAGACAGCGATTCGTCATTGGCGACATCATCATATGTGTAGTAACGGGTAGAGAAGTCGGTACCAGCCATTGGGATCCTGATGAGAGTGTAGCCAATACCCTCATCTCCAAAATACTGCCTGAAATATTCAACATGAATGAGCTCACAACATTATTATGTAGGTCATCAAATCAAAGGTTCTTGGTGGCGTAGGAAATGAATACAAATAATTGAAGGGATAATGTCACTTGTGAGATATAGGCATAGATGGAAGGATAATATTAAAATTGCTCCTATAGGAATAGTGCACGAGTGTCAGTGGTGAATTGTGTTCTATAAGTCAGATCATACAGAAATACACTAATTAAGGTCTACCATCAGATAGTTTTGCCAGAATGGTAAGGCATTTTGATTTGATAACAACATTGACAATGACATGACACTGTTGTACTATATAGTAAATCATCCCCTTTATATTATTCCAGTTTTATTGGTTTTACAGTGTACTACTAGCAGAGCATTCACCACTGGTGAGAATGATGGCTAAAAGGTGGCTTATGGTAGGGCTGGCTGTGGTGTGGAAAGGCAATTGACCTTCAGGTACCACAAAAGTCAGGAAAGTTTTTGATTATGTGGGCGACTGTCATCTTCTCAAGAAGGTCTTTGTAAATTTTACCGTAAGAGTTGATTTTGCGCTCCTGGTGAGAGAGACGCAATGTTGATTCCTGCAGCATCAGTTATGGCACCGCCAAATCCCGTCACATTCTGATAACGCTCAGACACATTTACACTGAACTGCACAAGTTCAGTGTTTGGAACTGAAACGCATAATTTGGAAAGCTGATTAATTTGAGGACTGTCTACAGCAAAAATAGAAGAAGCTTGTAGACCATTTAGTTATACTAACGCCATTTAAGGAGCTGAAAGTTATCGTAGTATCAGGTGAAATAATACTTCCCCAAAACACGGGTGTAATCAACGTTCAGCAAATTGTAGACGACTCACGGTGTGGAAAGGAGTTTCCGCTGGGAGCTAAGGGTTTTGTTGTGACGTTGAGTCTGTCCCCGTCTCTTGAGGAGACGTAGTGCACATAATAGCCTTGCTGAAGTAGGTCCTCCGGAAGTTCTGCTGCTGAATCGCAATACGTCGCGTTGCACACGCATACGACGCTGTCGTATCCGTAGCGTCTGGGAGCACACGGAAGGCCCAAGGCAATGGCTGAAAACACGCGAGAACAGTAGACCCTGGAAACGTACCTCGGAAGAAGGTGACTTAAGCCTATAAGAATAAAGTATTTTCGATCGGGCCTTAAGTCATTCTCGCAGTGCTTTTTTCCGTGACTTGCCGATATGTTCCAAAGTCCCAACTTTCATTGGTGTTGTTGTTGTACATACTGCATCGAGAAATTCATTTGACGGCAAAGGACGATAATGAAGATTAATTGCAGACTAGTGCGTGAAACCGAAGTTAAATCTATTCGCTCTTAGCGATGTCGTTCTACGTGGTCATAGTATTCGGACTTGTGCGTAAATACGTGTACCAGTGTTTCTCAGAAACATAATATCTCCATTTCCACTGCTTCAGCCCTGAAGATTGAATTAGAGAATGCAGTTTAGTTTGAAATTAACATTTTAAGATAAATCTCGGGATATGTAGTACGTATTTCATGCATTGAATATTTTGTAATGCAGAAACAAAGCCAAGACCCTCTGAACAATCTGCCTGTGATAAACAGATGTATCAGTGGAGAAGCGAAAACAACTTTTTCAGTGATTTCCTATTTGTAACTGATTTTGTTAACGTCTTCATCAAACGGATATGGAAGAGTTTGAAGCATGCGGAGACTTGTGTAAATCGGTCTGGATTACAACTTTTCAGGCTTGTTCGAAAAGACTCCCATACATCCAGTCAGATATTACTTAATTGCACAGATTCATTTCCATATACCTGCATACTTACCGATCATAAAAGTAATTAAAATAATTAAAACTATGTTGCACATATTGTTGTAGGCCTGCACTTTATAGTCAGGAATTAATATAGATTTACGTGTGAACTATATGTCAAGTAAGATAGTTCCAAAATCCACGCATCACCACCAAACAAAATCAGATATTTTAACACCGCCGGCTTGTGTTTAATTTATTTCTCAAATTTACTTAAAGTCTGTAGCATGACTTCTCAGGCAGAGGGTATTCTGACCATAAGCATATGGGAAACCTAGAGGCTCTCTCGCAACAAGGAAGTTGCGACCCGGGCCAGAGTAATTCTAACAATTTGTCAACTTGTCAAGCGATAATACAAAAACACCACGACGTCATATCGATAAGTGGTGTTTATTTTCGTCTCTTTTGCAGGGTCAACTGTTGCGCATTTGCTGTGACGTAACCGTGGCGAATCCGCTTGTATGGGCGTTGCTGCTGTGGCATTGTCGGTGTTGATCTTCGGGTTCTGGTGCCAGAGAATTAGCGGAAGTGACTCTAGTATGAGAGGCGTGGAACGTTTGGGTTCTGCTACCAAAGTGTTTGTTAGCTTAATTACGTAGATATGTCAGAGGGTTTGTTCCCTTCTTCCGAAATAAATAAAATAAGAAATTGATTACGAGGCATTTATTTAAAAAAGTATCTCGATCTCGTTACTCGTTATCCTGACTTGTGGTTTATTTAGGCGAATTCAGAGATATAACTTGCCTTCTTAGAAATAATTATTGTTTCATAATTCAAAATAATATTTTGTCTGAGATGTCAGGTTATCACAGCAGCGAGTATGAAGATAACTGACTTCTGGGATTTTTCGCCATGTAGTCTCGTAGAAGTTAACATGTGTGACATCACCCGGATGATGGTGGCAGTACGCACCTCTGAAACGTCGGTTAATTTCTACTACACTACATGGCGAAAAATCCCAGTTATCTTTGTGTTTTCGTTTAATTTGACTTTTAGCGTGAAACAAAGTCTTTAAATAAGAATTAATCAAAACACGCTGTATTTGAAAATGAAATACAATAGTAACTAGTATTTTTGCACTAATAATACACCAGTGTGTGACAATGTAAAAGCCAAAATATTATTTAACTGCACTAACTATGACAGATTTCCAGTAAATAATGGCAATTTGCTATCCGAAGTCTACATTATTTTGACTGACTCTACACAAATAAATAGAAGAATGCGTGATTAATCACAGTAAAATTGTATGTCGAGCCATGTTGCTTTGTCATTGGACTGTCACTCCGCTATCACCAGCACATCATCACTCACGTTATTTCTTTCGCGTGTTACGTGTTCACAAGAACCAGGCTTTTCGATCCTCGTGTCCTCTGCTGGCTCTCATTCTCACACTATGTCCCCTGGGGTAACAAAATTTGGAGTGGGGGGGGGGTAAAGAAGAGAATGAATAAGTAAAAAAATTAGAATTAACGTGAAAGAATATAAGCGAACATTAAAAGAGGAAAACAGAAAGAAAGCGAAAGTGTTAGCCTTTGCTGGTTTGTAATACGAGGTGCGATCGGAAAGTTTCAAGACTGCACGTATAAAAACCCGTACACTTATCCCAGGTATTAAATTCATCCATCACCATCGAAGTAGTTCCCCTGGGACTGAACACAACGATCCCAGCGCCGCTGCCAAGCCTGGAAGCATCCCTGGAAATCTTTCTTTGTCAGCCTGTCAAGCACCATCTGCGATTCTGCCTGAATCTCTTCTATCGTCTCAAATCTCCATCCCTTTAGCTGAATTTTCATCTTTGGGAAGAGGAAGAAGTCACACAGCGAATAAGGAGGGTGCGGGATGA